CTGCAGATTTGCAAGGATGTCATGGATGCCCTCATTCTGGTGAGTGCCTGGTGGCTCCTCCTGAGAAACGCGTTTTGAGCGTGAGTGGTGCTCTGCTCTGACTTACCACCCGTCCTGATTGTCTCTTTCTTGCGTACTGCATTGGCTGACAGCAGCGTGTCTTCCCTGGGTCACCTCTCATCTCCAGGTTAAAGAGGTATTTTTCATTTGCAGAAAATGGCAGAAATGAACAAGTACACTTTAGAAAATAAAGAGGAAGGATCACTCTCAGATACCGAAGCTGATGCAGTCTCTGGACAACTTCCAGATCCCAGAACGAATCCCAGTGCTGGAAAGGACGGGCCCTCCCCGCTGGTGGTGGAGCAGGTCCGGGTGGTGGACCTGGAAGGGAGCCTGAAGGTGGTGTACCCGTCCAAGGCCGACCTGGCCACCGCCCCTCCCCATGTGACTGTCGTGCGCTGACGCTGGGGCCGCCTGTCCAGCCTGTCCGCGTTTGTTTGGCCTGTTTTACTGAGGTTTCTATGTGGCAATGCTGAATTATCCATTAGATTTTCACCCGTTTTTTTTTGGTTGGTTGGTTTGAGATGGAGTCTCACTCTGTCGCCAGGCTGGAGTGCAGTGGCATGATCTGGAATCACTGCAACCTCTGTCTCCCGGGTTCAAGCGATTCTCCTGCCTCAGCCTCCCGAGTAGCTGGGACTACAGGTGTGTGCCACTAGCCCAGCTAATTTTTGTATTTTTAGTAGAGACGGGGTTTCACTATTTTGGTCAGGATGGTCGTGATCTCTTGACCTCATGATCTGCCTGCCTCTGCCGCCCCAAAGTGCTGGGATTACATGATCCTCCTGCCTCAGCCTCCCAGAGTGCTGGGATTACAGGTGTGAGCCACTGTGCGTGGCCCACCCCAGCATTTTTTAAGATGTATGTATTCGTTGTTCTGTTTTTCCAGGTGATTCTGTCGTAAAGTGATGCTATGTTGTTGTTACAACACCAAACTGATTTTACGGTTTTTATGGAATTATTCAGATGTCAAAATTAACTGTTCAAAATGTTCTGAATCATGTAGCTACGTGGCAGGTAACTGTCTATGGGAGAAAACACTGTACAGTCATGCACCACATAACAGCGTCTGGGTCAGTGATGGACACTTCCCTGACAGCGGGCCCACGACATTCTTGTGCAGTGTTTGGAAGCCTGGCCTGGGCTCTTGGCGTTGGCCTCTTGTAGATCAAGTAGGGGAAGTGATTGATGTTCAGTCATGCTGCTGGGACACTTGCTTTTCCAGATGAAAAACACATAAATAAAACTACACGCACCATTGAGGCTTGTGTAAGGACACTCTATGATCACACAGCAGCGGCTGAGCACACATTTCTCATGTCACTAAGCAACACATGACTGTCACTGGTTTGGAGACCCGAAAACTTAGGAAGCTAACCAATGTGCATTTCCTTGAATGGCACAGTCAGTTTCTATGACGCAGCATCTTTTAAAACCATATCATGTCAGGATGCAGCTTGGCTGGGCAAGGACATTGGGTTTTTCAGCTGGCAGTGATCATCATCTTGGGGGAAAGTTTTAATGTGACCTTAGAATTGGCAGAATTGCATCTCTTCATAGTGCTGCTGGATTGCCTTGTGGGGGTGGAGATGTGGAGACCCCTCCAGGCGAGCAGCCCGTAGGCCGAAGGCAGTGGCAGCCCCTCACGCTGGCTCAGCGGGGCCGAGCAGAGGAGCGCGGCGTCAGTGGGCTTTTCATCGTATGCACGCTAGTGCCACAGTGACAGGCAGTTGGAGCCCCATGAGTGGACCGGACAGCTCTGCTTGGGAAGCATCAGCAGTCGTCAGCTGAGGGACAGATGGTAGCAGTAGCTGGAGGACGCTTAGGTTTTTGAGCCAAAAATCTTCGTTTGTGCACCAGATGGATGGGTCCTGGGCACCTTCTGTTGTAGACATTTCTGTCATGAATGTCCAGGTCAGACCCCCATGTCCACGTCTTCATGTATGTCCAGGCACATGTGCGTGCACACCACTCCCGGGAGTCAGTGTGCTTGGCTCACAAGGACCCGGCCAGCCACTGCGATGACTTTCACAGACCCTACTGCTTTACGGTCTGGGTGCCATGTGAGAAGCGGACTCATCAGCTTTATCGAACGACACCATTTGTTCTCTGTTCAGTGTCTTGATTTCTGTGTCTGTAGAAATGACTGGCGATTTTGGGGAGCATCTGCAAGAGCCCCACAGCCCACACACCTGTAGTCGTCAGAACCAGAGAGGCCCAGGGCCCTGTGCAGTGGGCAGACTAACAGCTGGGGGACTCTTCAGAGCCTTGCAGGATGCGGGCCAGGCTGCCTTGAGACCTGGACCCACTTATCTGGTCACTGCCAGGCCTTCCTGTCTGGCCCACTGTGGGAGGGAGGGGACTCCAGACAGGATGAGGCCCACACAGTGCCAGCCGGACTGCTGTGGGTGTGTCAGACTACTGCCTTGCCTTGTGTCCCCCAAAACCGAATTTCCTGCTGCTCTGGGTAGTCAAGGCAGATGCCACAGTTGGCCAGGAGCCTGCCTTGTTGGAGGCTTGAGGTGGCACGGGGGCTTCCCCAGGCCAGGACTCTGCTGGGGCTCTGGGGCTGGGGACCCCACACAGTTGCTCGGAGAGGTGATTTTGGGCTGCCATGGCAGAGGCTGCCCTTTCTCTGTATGGCCCGGCCCAGTCCGGGAGGGAGGGAGGGGAGGGAGGGATGCTGGAGCTGCTATCTTGGCTCCCAGGGGCTTGGTGTCCATGCTGTAGCACATCTGTCACTGTGTGGACAGATGAGGATGAGGCTGCCACGTGCTGTGCCCTTTCCTGATGCAGCTCGTGATGCGCGAGATGCTGGAAATGTATTTAACTCGCAGCGCAGGTGTCTCTGATGTTTTCTTCACCCCATCCCACCCCCCCACTCACTAATAAAAACAGCTCCGCTCCTGGCCCAGCAGATCCTTTCCCACCGGCGTTGCCAGAGGCTGTTGCTCAAAGTGTCACAAAACTCACTCTAGCCCAGTGGTGGCTTCCATGTGGGGAGGCTGAGGGCCTCCTGTGCCCACCCAGATCTTGCCAGCAGGGAGCACGAGGCACCTGCCACTGTCACGGGGAAGCTAGTACCCTTGACCAGGGGTCCTGGGAACCGGCCCCACCCTGCTGGGTCCCTGCCTGGAGCACGAGATGGACCAGAGGTGTCAGGCTGCCTGGATACCTCAGGTGCACACTCAGAGGAGCCCAGGCCTCAGACGCACCCACAGCAGATCCTCCTGTTCACAAGTCTCTGGGAGGGGAAGCTAGGCGGCCACTTAGCAGGGTCCTGTCCCATTGTCTCCCCAACCCTCCCAGAGCTGTAAGGACACTGCCCAGTTCAGCCTAGGTCCATGACCCTGGGATCCTGGGGCCAGAGCTGCTGTTTCCACCATGGCCACTTAGGGGACAAGTAGTGTGCCTGAGAGGCAGCTGTGGGTAACTTGAGTGCCCGGCCCAGTGAGCACCCGTGGGTGTCTGCCTGCAGCCTCCCCTGCTGGGGCTGGCAGGGCTGCTGGTGGAGCCCCTGGCTGAAGATGCTGGGCCCCTGCCAGGGTGGAGCCAGACGCAGCCAGCCAGATCTGGGGCAGACCCTGACATCCGCCCGTGCCATCTGCTGCTGGCCCCTGACAGGGCGGGGAGGAGCATTTGTGGGGGTGCGTGGGCATCACTGGCGTGTGGGACCCATGGCAGAAGCACCAGGGCCACTAGAACTGGGACAACTCCCGTCCCCATCCTGTACCCTCGCCTGGCTCCTGGGCCGCACCAGTTCTTGGGGACGCCCAGCCCCAGGACCCCCAGATCAGAATGCTGCCTTCTGGGGCCCATGCAGCCAAACTGCAGCAGCCCCAGGGCAGTGCTGTCCTGTGAAGCTGGGCTCCAGGGAGGGCACCAGCTGGCCACTCCCCTCCCTCCTTGGGAGTGGCAGGTCAGAGGTAGGGATCTCTTTTTGAAGACTTGTGCTGAGATCCAGGCTGTCATGGCTGGGGCAGACAGCAGCCCATCCAACAACAGGCTCCCAGGAAAGCATCATTGCCTCACACCCCAGCCCAGGACAGGCCCTTGGGCTTCCTCCTCAGGTTTGGAGCCAGGAGGCTTGGGGCAGTGTGCAATCAGCCTTGCAGCTCCACCTGCCACCGTTCTAGCCCCAGGCAGACCTCAAGTGGGCCTGCTCGCCCAAAAGGCGGATGGTGTGGAGTCTGCCTCCCCACCAAGACTGGCCCAGCCCCTCCTGTTTACCTGACTTGATGCGTTCTGTGGGACCTGACCTGGGGCAGGCGCAGCCTCAACCCTCTGATAACCTCATCTGGCCCTGTGGCCCCCTTCTCTGTGCCCGTGAGGATAGTGGTGCCCGTGTCTCCCACCCCCAGCCCTGTGGTGAGGACCCCTTTCCCAAGATGTTTCTGGCAAGGCTTTTTGGGGTCTTTTGTGGTAGGTGAGAGCCGAATACATGACTCGGGAAAGACCTACAAAGAGAATGGAGGTTGGGACCAGAGGCTGAGACTGGAGGCCAGGATGGGGGTGGAGGGGAAATGGGACTGAAGTCCCTGGGACATAGCTGAGGTCCAGCCACATCCGGGTCCCCAGGCCTGCTGTGTGTCCTCGCCAGAGGGCCCAGTTGGGAGGGGTGCATTCCTACAGCCACATGGGAGGGGGCCTGCCCTGGGGACACAAGCCGTTCCCACAGCCTTCCTGGATGTTACGCCTGGTCGGGCAACTATGGCAAAGGCTGTCGTCCACCGTTCATTCAACAGACGCTTAATGCCTCTGTACACAGGCTTTCGGCCCACAAGGAGTACTTGGAGGGGCCAGGCCCGTCCCTGGGGAAGGGAGGGTAGACCTGGGTCCTCCCTGGCAGCCACCAGCCCTAAGAGGATGTACCCAGCCCCTGCGTATGGTGGACTGCCTAGGAAGAACTGTGCCCACTTTACTAAGGAAGACACGGTACATCTGAGACAAGGGCAGAGGACACATAGCCCTTATTGGAGCCATCCTTACAAAACCAGGAGTCAGAAAGGCCCAGAGAGGACAGGGGCCTGCCCAGGCCACACAGCTCTGCACAGTGCTGCCATGGAGGAAAGCAGCAGGGAGGATCCCACCCCGGGGGGCTGCCAGGGAGGTGGGCTCAGTTTGTCTGCCCAAGGAACCCCTCATCCTGGCCTTGACAAGGGAAGGGGCTGAGCCCTGGGTGAAGGGAGGCTGTGGTTGGGGGCTCCAGGCCGCAGGGCCCAGCGTGGGTGTGTCCTGCAGCTCCTGCTGAGGCTGGACCCAGGCCTCCTTGCCACGTGTGCCCAGCTGTTTGTCTGTAGGTCCTTTGAAGGACTGTGTGCCAGGTGTGTGGTACGCCCTCGTGTGGGGCCTGTGACAGCTGTGCACCTGGTGTCTTCGTGCGCGTAGCTGCCAGCGCCTGTGCTGTTTGCTGTGTGTGCCGTGGGGTCCATGTCTATGTGGGGGTCCATATCTATGTGGGGTCCATGTCTATGTGGGGGTCCATGTGGACAGGGATGTCTCTCCAGGCCTGTGCTCTCACATGTGCAGCCAGCCCCCAGCATGCACGCGGGGCAGCATTTATTTGCACTTGTGCACATAGTAGCCAGTGAGGTAGCCCAGGATGAAGATGATCCAGAAGAGGGCCACGCCGCCCAGCACTTTCATGGCGATGCCCAGCTTGCCCGTGCACAGCTTCTGGGAGATCCTGGGGTGAGAACCAACTGGAGGTGAGCCCCAGGCCAGGGCCGCGTGAGGGGCCCCTAAGTGGACTGTGGCCATTGGTGTGGGTCAGGGGGAGGGGCCTGGCGCTCTGCTGGAGTGAAGAGGAAGCTCTCCCCACCCACAGCCAACCAGAGGGAAGGCCAAGGGCTGCGGTTTGCTGAGCCGCTGGACCGTGGGCTCCCAGCCAGGATGGGGTGGAGGGTGATGGGGCTGGCGGCAGGGGTTAGGGCAGGCGTCTCTGTGGTTGGGCAGGTTAGGCACCGGCCTACTGTGGCTGGCAGGCCGCCCCCAGGCCCCTTACCTGCGGCAGCATGAGGCCTCTTCTGTGCTGGACACAGCCCCTAGGCTGACTCCATCCCTGCTGCCGTCCTCCCACCTACTATAGTGGACTTGGCTCTCCTGGGGCTGCATGCTGTGGGGCTGCAGCAGGAGACGTGGGGCCTTCACAGTGGTGAGATCAAGACAGGTGGCAAGGCTGTGACTTCACTGTAAAACAACCGAATGGAAGGCAGTAGTCAAGACCCCCTCTGGGGCTGCTGTTAGGGGAGGGGCACTAAGGGCCAGGGCCTGGCTCCCTCACCGGCTCTGTCACCTGACTTAACAGGCGACCTAGACACAGAGTGGTTGAGTCATTTGCTCAGGGTCACACCGGGAGGATGGGACCAAGCCGCTGGAATTCCATCTCAGGCCAAGCCCTAACCTCAGGCATGTGGGAGGCCAGTGTTTCCTTCCAGCACGCTCCAGGGACCTCCCTTCCTGGGTGCTTTTATCAGAGAGCCTGCACAGCCCGCCACCCTCAAGAGACAAGGACATTGTGGCCCAACCCAGGATGCAGCCCCTGATAACTGTCCCCCTCCTTAACCCTGCCCGATAAGGCGCCTGCTGACCTCTGGGGAGGCTGGCCTGGGGAGGGTGGGATGGGGCAGGGCAGCAGGTCCAGGGCAGCAGGTCTGGAGCAGTGGCTACAGCTAGACCGGTCCCTGCCTGGGGAGGGCAGTGGCAGCAGTTGTGTCCTTGGCCTCTGTGGGTTGCAGGCCCTCCCCCACCCACACCTCTGGGAGGGCTGGAGCTTGGGGGGCACGATGCACTGAGCACAGGGCCGGGGTGGATTCAAGGCCTCAAGGAGTCCCTAGAGAGACAGGAGGGTCGTGGGCTGGGTGGCTGCAGGACTGCCCAGCACTCAGCTCAGTGCCTGGCAGCCCAAGTGCCCACAGAGACCAGGAGACCGCAGGGACTGAGAGGAACTCCAAGCACTAGCACAGCTGCCCGGCCAGCCTGAGCCAGCCCAGACTCTAATCACCTCCTTTACCCTCTGGCCTCTGCTTCGACCTCCTATTTACCTAAGGGGAAGGGGGTACAGGGGTTGGAGGGGGTGCCAGAAATTGACAACCCACCCAGGCTGTGGGACTGGGGTTAGCTCTCCGGTCTGCTGGGCCCCCAGTGTCTCTTCTCAGCATCTGGCCCCCAGGAGTGGGGTCCTTGGGCAGGCAGTGGCAGGCCCCTCATTCTAGGGGCTGAGGCTTTGCTGGGCCCCCTCCAGCAGGGAAGGCTGACCTTCCTCCCAGGTCATCCGCACAGAGGTCTAAAGACACAAGAGCCACTCCCCTGCAAGAAGCCAGCTCAGAAATTCAGGCCCCAGGCAGTTCTGAGACTCCTGGGGCACTTCCGTGTCTGCCCTTCCCCAAAGCCCAAAGAGGCAGAGGGAGCTGTCTCAAAGCCATAAAGTGTGCCTTCGGTGGGAGCCCGGGCTCAGTGCAGCCTGGCACTCAGGCCCGGGGAGGCCCAGCCTCTACTGGAGTATGGGTGCTGTTTTCCCGGAGCATGTGGAGGCGTCAGCCGCCTACCCAAGGTTCACGCCCTCTTACCTGGTGTGCAGAATTCCAGTCTGGTCCCAGCAGCAATGTGCCAGCCCCAGTTAACAGCCATAACCGGGGTAAGACAAGCTTAATACCGCCACCCCTGCTTTCCCAAGTCACCCAGCTGTGGGCCAGGAGCCAGGGTGCAGCAGGGGATGGGGAAGCTTTTGCTTCTGTGAAAGAAGCAGCAGCCACCTCCTTCTTCTAGCCTTGACGGGATGGCTGGAGCTGCAGCAGCCACCTTGCAACCTGACATCCACGCAGCATTAGTCCCAGGAGTGCTGAGTCTCCAAGTCCACTGCAGCAGCCCATCATGGGCCTCCCGGTGGGAGGGGTCAAGCCCAGTGTATTCAACTCTGGGATCCTGGGTTCCTGTCTTGCTGACCTAGATCGCGTGGTTCCCAAGTCACCCCGGTGGACAAAGCCACCAGAGCCGGCCCTTGAGGCTGGCCTCCCTCACTTGCCCAGTAAACGTCTCTCCACACTCACGTGAGAGTCACAGCTGTGGCGGCACAAACCCATCAGGGACGCCCCTCCAGGCCCTGGGAGCCTCCCAGGTCCTGGCACCTCCTGGGGGTTTGTGAGTGCAGGAAGATCCTAGGTACACAGCGGCCCCTGCATAGACCTCTTCACCACAGCGCCTCAGGGCCCCACACTTACCCGGACAATCTTGCCTGAGGGCCGGGGCCTCTGTGCCAGGTTGAGGTCAGAGCCTGGCCGCGGCCCGCACCTCCCAGAGGGGCAGGTCGTGGGCTGAGGTTCGGTAGACGCCTCGAGCCTAAAAAAATAACCGGAGAAGCAGCCTTGCTAAGGGCTGGGAAGGGAAAGTGGCTGGGGTCGGGGGTCCCCAGCGGCCACCAGGAGCCGGGCGGGCAGTTCCGGGCCTGGCCCCGCTCCGCGGATTAGGCCGGTGGGGGTCAGTCCAAGGCACGCCCCCAGCCCCCGCCAATTCTCAGCCAGCAAGGCCGCGCACAGGCCCACCTGCCCACTGTGGCCGCACCGGGAAGCTGCAGCCCGGACCCCAGCGCGCCTCACCTGCGTCCGCGCGTCTCTGGGCTCCGCAGGGGCCGGGCCTGGGCAGGGGGCGAGGGCGGGGGCGGGGCCACGCGAGGAAGGGCTAGAGCCAGCAGCCGGGAGGCACCTGGTCCGGAAGGGGGCGTGGCTAGAGTGGTGGGCGGGGCCATGCGGGGAAGGGCTGGAGCCAGCGGCAGGGAGATGTCTAGTCCAGAAGGGGTCGGGGGCGGGGCGAGAGGGGGCGGGGTCATGCGGGGAAGGGCTGGAGCCAGCAAGCCAGCAGCCGGGAGGTGCCTGTCTAGAAGGGGCTGGGACGGGGCGAGAGGGGGCGGGGTCATGCGGGGAAGGGCTGGAGCCAGCAGCGCGGAGGTGCGTAGTCCAGAAGTGGCAGGGTGCTGGGCGAGTGGGGCTGGGGCCTGAGGCCGCCCAGCCCCGGGGCCTGGAGGTGCAGGGGGCCGGACAGGGTCTGAGGGCTACACTTCCCGCCCGCAGACGGCCCGCCCTCGGGGCCTCCAGGGTCCCCGACTTCCTTCACCCCTGCTGGAGCCGCTACGATGCCACGAGCCCCCCAGCCCCGCGGGGACCCGGCTGCAGCGCCGACGAGACTACGGGAGGCTCTGGGCGCGTCTGGGTCTGAATCTTGGGTATGGAAGACTCGGTCGCGGGGACCGTCCCCCTCCGGGGCCTAAGGGGCATGGCGCCCGCACGTGGCCCACGCTCGGTGCTCGCGGCGGGAAGGGAAGCGGGTGTGGGTGGGGAGCAGAGAAGGGCGATGGGGAGAGCCCCTTCCGATTGTGTTCAGGCGCCCAGAGCCTGCGAGGCGCCGGGGAAGCGTCAGGGACCACAGACACCGTTGCCGTCCGTAAAACTTTCCTTCCAGGACCAGGGGGATGGGAACAGAGCCCCCCACCCTCACCATCTTCCAATCCTCCTGCAAGAGAGTGCCCCAACCAGGAGAGGGCCAGGACAGGAGGTCACAGACCCCCTCTGTTCAGTAGGTGTGTGGTCTGTGCTGAGTGCTGGCTGGACACCCCGGCTGAGGCGTCTGGCAGCCTGGGGCCTCATGGGGACCTGTTAGGAGCTAGGGGCACAGGCTGGTGTGCTGACCCCCAGTGAGTGAGCTTTGGAATGGGGAGTGTCGTAGTAGTTCAAGGTCGCAGAGGAGAATAGGCCCCCACGTGGATCCCAGAGAAGAAAAAGGTGGGACAGTGCCAACGCCGGGTTTAATTCTAAGTCTGAGAACAGGACTCATGGTGGGGGCGGGTGGTTCTGGAGCTGGGCCCTGGCCTCTGCTGGGCTGACCGTATTTGGGCGCCTGGCTGGGCCTACTTGGAGGTCCCCTTCTTGGTTTTGCTGGGCAGGAAGGCCTCTGACTGTTGAAGCGGGGGCACTTTGACGCCTTTCTGCTTCAGCTGATTGTGGTAGTCGCTTCTCTCTGAGATAATTCTCTACACAAGAAACACAACCGTGGAGGTGGCCTTCGCAGTTCCTCACCTTGGCCTTGAGGCTGGTCTGCCCAGTTCATGCCAGCTGCCCGGGACACCACCCTCTCGTCCTCTAGAGGGGCTCGCTGCAGCGGGGGTGTGCTGGTGAATACTTACAACCGGCTCTCCAGCGGGGAGGAAAAAGCAAAACTACGCTCGGCTTTGTGGCGTTGCCAATTTCTGAGGTGGGAATACTCCCACGGCGGCTGATTTTCAGCCACGGAAGTGAAGCCACAGAACGCGGAGCCGGGGCAGGTGCACACCACCAGCCCACAGAAGCCTGCACTAAGTCCCCTCCTCAGCCCTCTTAGAGTTGTGAGGAACCCCAAACTCCTAGAGACCTTTGAGGTCGTCACATCTGTCCCTCAAGTCCTTTCTGTCCTGTGCATAGGGAACGTTGTCCCCACCCCTCTTCCAGTCTCCTCTCTGGGCCGTTGCTGGTTTGTGTCAGGTTATGGCAAACAAGCAAAGGTGCTCTTCCCTGGCTGCTGTGCAGTGGGAATCCTCCCTCCATCCTCTGTCTTCCCTCTTCTCTTCCTCTTTCCCTCCCCTTCCTCCTCCCCTCCCCCAGACAACAGTACCAAGGCCACAGAGATCTCTGCCCACATTACAGCTCTGCTGGAAAGGCACTGTGTGGGGACCACCTGCTCTGCAGAGGAAGGGAACCAGGCCCCAGGAACGTGGGTGCTGGAAGGTCATGGGCACACACTGGGGTTTAAGGGCAGCCCCAGAGGGCAAAGTGTGGGTCTTGGGACCAGAAGCAGTTGCTGGTGAGAGGTGACCCCTGTGTAGCACATGGCCCCACACAGAGCCACAGCCGGTGCCTGACGCCCAGATCTCTGAGTCTCACGACACCTTGCAGGTAAGCATGCGCTGTCCGTCACAGAGGGAGGCATCTATGACTCAGAGAAGTGACTGTGTGGCCCACAGCTGGTGGGTGGTGACCCCCTCATGCCCAGTGACCCCAAGGCCTGAATTATTTCTCCTATACCCCTCTACTTCTCCGAGGCCCCTGCTTGGGGACCCCTGGTCAGGAAGGAGCCCAGGAGGCTGTAGCCAGGGTGGGAAGAGTCTGCGCCAGGGCCCTGGATCAGTGGGTGGGGATACCAGCGGAGGGACCAAACTGGACAAAGCGGGGGCTGGGCTCCTGCTGCGGGAGAGTCTTCATGACCCGAGCGGCTTGTTCCCTGTCCACAGCGCTCAGGATGGGTTGTGGTGGTTACTGCTGGTCTCTGATGCCCCTCCCCCTTTTTGCTGAGAGTGGGTAAGACTCCCATGCCATGTCCCCACCCACCTTAGGATGATTTGGTCCCCTCTGCCTGAGCAGAGAGAAAGGGGGGTCCTGGGGTCCGGGTGAATAGGTGACACAGCTAGGATGAGAACACAGTCCCTTGAATCTAACCTAGGCCCCCGCCCCACCCCCTACCCCAGTTGTGGCCTAGGGGGATGGGGCCCGGATGGAGGCAGCAGAGCTCAGGGGTGTACCTGCAGGGCTTCCAGGATGTCATTGTCAGAGATCTCGTTGGCCAAGGACTTGGTCCCGGTGATGCTAAAGGTGGCCTGGATGATCTTATTCCTTAGCCTCTCGAGCTATGAGCAAAGGGACAACATTGTCACTCATCTTTGCCCACGAAGGCACCTGGCCAGTGGGCTGCACCCCCCAGCACCTTATTTTTTATAGGCCAGGAAGGAACTTTTCATGGCTTTAGAAACTGGAAACGGGGGCCGGAGGAGTCAATGTGGGCTGCCTGAGAGCTAGGAGGTGCCGGATCCAACCCCTGACCCTGCGCGGCCCAGCCCCAAAGCCCAAAGGCTCTTTCACACCACCTGGGCTTTTCTAATTGGAAAGTAAAACCTACCCACACACACACACACACACGCACACACACTTTTTTTTTTTTTTTTTTTTTGGAGACGGAGTCTCGCTCTGTCGCCCAGGCTGGAGTGCAGTGGCCGGATCTCAGCTCACTGCAAGCTCCGCCTCCCGGGTTTACGCCATTCTCCTGCCTCAGCCTCCCGAGTAGCTGGGATTACAGGCATCCGCCACCTCGCCCGGCTAGTTTTTTGGTATTTTTTAATAGAGACGGGGTTTCACCGGGTTAGCCAGGATGGTCTCGATCTCCTGACCTTGTGATCCACCCGTCTCGGCCTCCCAAAGTGCTGGGATTACAGGCTTGAGCCACCGCGCCCGGCCCACACACATATTTTTAAACCAAGAAACCAAAATAGTACAGAAGCTGCACGTAACCCCTGGACCTTCCTCCGCTGCCCAGGGGAGCTGCAGTGAGTGGACTTCCTGGCCCTTGGCGACACACTCACTTTAGGCATTTAACGGTGTGCTGCTGGCCCTCCCTCCTTTCCATGCTGACTAGGAGGCGTCTGTGCCACGGACAGCAGCATTGAACCTGGCCCCTGCGCACAGACCCGGAAGGCGTTCCAGTCTTTTGCTGCCATGAAGATCCTTGTCTGCCTGTACACTGCAGCCACCTCCCCAGAGGTAGCTAATCATGCCTCCCAGGAAGCTACAGAGGAAATCCCTCCAATCTGCACCCCAGGAGCCTCAGAAAGAAACCCCTGGAGTTATGCAGCACGATCAGCACCCGTTCCTCGTCCAGAAACCCTGACGACGCAGAGGTGCCCAACGGGAGCCAGGCCCGAAAGGCTCAGCTTTGCCTCCGAGTGGAAGCACGTCCACACTGTCACTTGGACAGGTTTAAGTAACAGCAGGAATGTCATGGGCCCCTGGCCTGTGTGAGGAGTGGATTCCTTTCCTTCTTTCCAGAATTTATTGAGTGCCCACTTTGTACAAACATCGTGCCAAGTGCTGGAGGTCCTGAGGCCACAAGGGACTGGGCCTCTGTTCTGGGGGTGCCTCCCCAGGGTAGAGGTTGGTAGCTACCCAGGGTGTCCAGCCTCACTTCCCCACATCCGTGGGGCCTCACCATCAGGCTTGGCGCTAGTTCCTGCTCACCCGGACTTAGCTTCAGAGTTTTTCTCAGCTCAGCTTTCCAGGCTCTACCAGGTCAGTGCACGCTGGCGCACAAATGGACACACCTAGACCGCCTCTGGTCTAATGCTTTCACCAGGACTACGGCTGGATCCCAGACTGTTTTATCAAGGGATACCAGGGGTGGGTGCCACAGTCTGACCCAGCCGGAAGGAGGCAGGCTCAGGCAGGAAAAAGAACACAGTTGAGCTGCTGTTGGCATTCCTGGTGGGAACATGACTTCAAAAGCCTCCATACATGACCTTGACCTTTGCTTAATTTTGGATTCTAAATCAAGGTCAGGGCCAGGCATGGTGGCTGACACCTGTATTCCCAACACTTCAGGAGGCCAAGGCAGGCAGACTGCTGGAGCCCAGGAGTTCGAGACCAGTCTGGACAACACAGTGAGACCGTTGCTACAAAAAGTTTCTAAAATTAGCTGGGTATGATGGCACAGGTCTGTGGTCCCAGCTACTCAGGAGGTTGAGGTGGGATGGTGATGGCTTGAGCCTGGGAGGCCGAGGCTGCAGTGAGCTGTTGTTCCCCCACTGCACTCCGGACTGGATGATAGAGAAAGACCCTGCCTCAAAAAAGAAAAAAAAAAAGGTCAGCTCTTTATTGATTTCCTTTTTGGCATGGGGCCTTCACAAGCAGGGTGCGCTCTGGCCTTGCTCACGTTTAATG